ACAAAGGGCTGGAAAACGTTCCGACTGGCCTGCAGCCTTCACAGTGTGTATAGGCCAGCTGCACTTTAGCGGTCACTATTCGGGTGCCGCAACATGGTCTGTTGTACGTCAAGTATGGCGCAATTGATCTGCTTCCGATGTGACCTTCTGATTCATTTTCACATTTGAATTGTGACGCGAGTTATTGCTTGTGCCAGACTTCGCTGCGACATGGTACACCTGCTTGTACAATTTGGCAGTCGATAGACAACGCAGCCGACGATGGAAATAAAATGAAAGGCCACCACCAAGTTACAGATTGAGGCTCACGTCTCAGTCGAATAAGAAGTATCATTTTCGGTCCAGTGGTATCTATCGCAGCTCTCCCGGCCGCTCCAATGACCCCCCCAAGAAAAACCTAAAACGCCGATGGATGATACCTGAGTAACCCTAACCCAGGCCTTTGTCTTGCCCCGCACCCAAACTCCATGAAGCCCAAGCCCACGATCCATCCCAACACCCCTCGAGACGGGAAGACAATCTACCGCTTCGTAGTGAAGTCAATCTCGTGCTCCGAAGGGTCCCACGTGCCGTCGGCGGCCTTCTCGCAGGTGCACGCGTCGGCGGAGCGACGGCCGCAGCTGCACGTCTCGCCGGCGGGGTTGGCGTTCTCGGTGCTGGCGCGGTCGCAGTTGCAGCCGCCGGCGGGGCGGGCGCGGCACGAGCAGCGGGCGCCCGAGATGGCGTTCTCCGAGGCCGACTTGTCGCACGTGCAGTGCAGGGCCGACTGCTTGCCGCAGGAGCACTTGGCTTGCTGGGCTGGAGGCAGGGATCAGTATGTGGCGTGAGAGGGGGGCGTGGTGGTGAGCTTACCGCAGACGCAAGAGGCGGACTTGCCGCAGCAGGTGGAGGACTTGTCAATGGCCATTGTGGTTGAGGTGGGCTCTAGTGTGGTTGTGATAGTGGTTGTGGTGGTGGAGGAGAGTGAGTTGGTCTGATGGTTGAATTGAGTAATGGTTGAACTGAGTGATGACTGCTGAATGAGGGAGATGAAATGTCGTGCTCAGTGTTGCCGGCTTGAAGGTTATATACCATCAAGCGTCAATGGATGAAGACGTCACAAGTGTCACAGCGAAGGCTCGCTGACCTTTGTCTGCCTGTCATCAAACGCATGCTGATTGGCTGCTGACCATTTCCAGCCAATGAACGCTCGCCTATTTACAATCTGGCCCGGACACGACACGCCACTACGGAGAACATCGTTCGACTCGGCCGTTCCGGAGGGAGGCTCGATGGTCTCGGGCTGGTCATGCGACGCTTTGGCCAGGGATACCTCTGTTCCCTTATGGATTCCGATTCGGATGACCGTGTCCGCTTCTACCGTTGACTGGTCACGGCACCTCGTCCCGCATCATTTTGTTGTCCTCATGTCATGACCTCTGTGATCAGAACCCTCTAGCAGGCGTGCTTGCTATTGTACACCTACCCGTTGACAACATCGAGTCCCGGCTTGTCGGCATGAACAGATCGGCAATCCCATCCGAGCTGCGCCGGTTTCATTCGCCATATCTTGCGGGGCAAACTGCCGTGTCCCGGACGGTGATGCCGGCCCCGCGCCGGAGGACGACTTGCAACGCTGGCGGGCGGGTTTTATGACGATGCTCTGTGGCAGGCACAGCAAGCGCTTCCCTGCCCAATGCCCCGCGAAAACCACCAACCTGCATGTCACATCATCAACATGACCTCTGCTGCATCGACAGAACCAACAGGCCAATTGACTCGTCTCTTCCCTGCAGCCTCTCTGCGGGGCTGTCGTGATGATTCGCTGCCGTGACGCCGGGACCTATGAACAGTGCATCATGACACCACAAGCACACGGCTCATGCCAACAGCTTTCAGGAAGCGCCAATCATCACTTCCAGCAGAAGATGAAATGAGGCTTCAAGACAGCAGCATGCAGTAGTGAAGCTGCGGGCCGTGGCCGTCGGGCATCCGGACAGTGGTGATTGACCAGTCCCGACGCCTGCGATAGGCGAGGTCCGCAGTTGGTGTGCCAGGCTGTGGATGCAGGCATTGTTGTCAATGTCTATTTGGCCAGCCTGATCGACCAACCTGCGGCCACCTTCTGGCACGCGCGTATGCTACAACACGCCTTCGTTGATTGGAGATGTAGCAAAGGGTCAAGCCATCGGCACGCGTCATGTCGGCCACTGCTGCACGTATGCCCAACGTGTTGCACCTCTTGTTCAGATATAAAACCATCTGGTCATCAGTGATCCTCTCGGGGCATGCGAGCGCACAGCACCGCCAACCCAGCCATCCAGACAGCATGGCGAAAGACGTGAGCAGCGACGAACTGGCGCGGGAGCGCGAGCTCACGTCTCCGCCCGAAACGCTCCTGACCCCAGACGCCCACAAGCTCACGCAGACGATGGACCAAGACACAGGGCCTGTGACATCGTAGG